TTAGAGACCGGAAGGAATACAATTTTTGAGAAGAGCAACAGAACTGTTAAAAGAAGAAAAGTCACCAGAGTGAGTCACATGATATACAGAACACATGAGTCAGTGTTGCACCTTCCTTCTCCAGTGAAAGCATTGCCGACGTCACCATTTGGTTTGTGTTTTGAAGTGTTGTGTGTTTTATTGGCTAACGCCTCAGTGTAAACCAGCATGAACAACATTATTAAAGAAGAGGTCAGTCTTCTGGATGATGACGTTCACCTAGTGACATACATTTAGTGCATAGACATTGCTGCTGGTCCCATACTAAAGAACTTAAATGTCTGACTGGTTGGTACGGAAGGCCGGTTAAACAGTTTCAGACCCACATAATGTAAAAATAAAAAAAACAAACACAACTGCAAAATTGACAGTTTCAGAACAATCGCCTAGCCGCTGGGCTGTGAAGGGAGCCATGCCAATTTCATTGACCAACCAGAAACCATGATTGTTGCTCTGAAAGGTTCAAAATAATGGCTGATACACCGCAGTTCCTGAAGATGACTACAGAGATGAGGACGGGAAAAAACCCATTATACTAACAAATTTACTGCCGTGTAATCCACTAACCCTCTTTGAACAAAAAGAGCAGGGCATACAATGAGGAAAAAACAGCATGCCAAAAATGGTGCAGGAAATGAAGTGAGAAAATCTGAAAATGAAACATAATTAAGAGCGACGCTAGAACTTCTGCTCCAACCATTTATCTGAACAAAGCTTCTTAAAAAAAAAAAAGTTGCACCTGTAATAAAACCATCTCTTCAGCCACATTGACTTACGAAGAAGATACGACATCATCTGCACCTGGTGTAATTATGCAATCAGTGCACAGGTGTTAATTGGGGTCTTAAATCTGAGAAGGAGAATGACGGAGAGAGCAGAGCGCTCCCAAAACAAATGTGGCACCACATTAATAATATTTTTAAAGTTTTGCCATGAGGAAACTTATACCAGGACACACGCCTATGTTCATGTTTGTTAAGTTGATAGATCATGGATACAGATAACCAGAGATTCTCAGAATAAGACACAGCAGGTGATATGTTGGGGACAGAGTGACATCGTGACCTCATGTGGGAGACGGTTTAGCCGTCATTGGCCAGGAGCAGTGAGTAGTACTGGGCAGAGCAGCCTGAATGTCTCTCCAACACATTCACAGTATGGGCTACTTTGTGTGCATGTGTGTTTGTGTGTGTGTGTGTGTGTATCTTGAACTATTACTCATGTTGTGAGACCATAACCCATTAAGACAGCAGCTAATTTAATTAATATTTTTGTAAAATCTGGTATGAAGAAAACATTTAGGTAAATCTTAAAGTTTATATCTAGTTCTGTTGGTTCTCAAAGATCATGTTGTTGAGCACAGTATGTGCAGCACGTGGATGGCCATGGAACAAATGACAGGAACAGACATACTCAACCTCTTATTGCAATTAATGTGTCATGGTAAAAGGTACATGTGTTTGATGAACCAAATGTACATAAATGTGATTGCGACATGAGGAAAATGACTGTTATATCTGAATGCTCTTTCTCAGAACCCCATCAGTTATAATATTTCCCTTCACATGTCAGACTAATGAATCAAAAGGTTGACAGTCTGCCAGGTACACTGTAATGCTCTTTTTATCATTCCAAAGATAAATCAAATCAAGTAGATTTATTCTTTGTATGATGACCACATCAGTGACAATGAAATTTAAATGCCTATACAAATGACTGTGGTTATGTATCCTAAGTCTGGTGTCTGAGTTCATGTTAAAATCAGCAGATTACTGACAAAAGGTTCAAAGCCAGACGTTAAGGTTAAGTGAAAGTTGGAATGGTGAGGAGTTTGGAGCAGTAAAATAAAACATTTATGTACTGACAATGTACATGTTTGTGTTTGACAGCAGCTCTAATCTCTGTTTGTCGAATGTGATTGACAGCAGCTCTAATCTCTGTTTGTCCATCATATCTGATTGAGTTCTCTAATTCACACAGACATCTGGACTTTGAATCGTAACAGAGTGTGACGGCAGGAAGGGCAGGGTTATCAGACATCAAGGATGATGTTGGGACAGTTCGCCTTGATTTGTCTAAACAGTCAGTGTTAGCCTATCTCTGGGCAGATACACAGTGTTCAAAGCTGCAGATGAGGACACTCTCATAATTCTGCACTCACCTGAGTCAGGATACAGAATTACCTGCAATCATTTTGGCACAATAACACTTAAAACATAAAACATACCACAACACGCTAGTTCTTACCACATTCCAGAAGAGAGGGTTGAAAATGATGGTGACCACAGCGATGAGAAAACTAACATCATGAAAGGTAACGTGCTTCAGGAAATCTTCCAACAGTGACAAATCCATCTGTACAGGATTAGAAAAAAAGGTTATAACACGATAGATTTTTGTTATTTACAATTTAGTCAGATATTTATATATATCACTTAAAACATGCCTCACATTTGTGTACGTATATAATTTAATTTGTGTTAACACTGCAGGTGTTTGTTTTAGAAAACAAGAAGCTCATCAGAGTGGCTGCTGTGCGTCACAGAGCCTGTAATTTATCTGTCATCTTGTTGTTGGGCCCCCATGCTACATAAGCCTAACACACTGGAATCATCTGTTTGGTTTCTGACTTGATGTCTTATGCGGAACAACAAAGCACGGTTCAGGCCACATTCCTCAGTCAGCGCTCTCTCAGGGTGGTTAAATCAAAAACGTGTTGCTCTGAGCAATGCTGACAGGAGAATTCCTGTCATTACGGAGTTTCATAACAACCTGTAGGCCTCCATTAGTTTGTTTCCTGACACAGTTTAATTTAAAAAAGCCACAATTTCAGGAAAGAATGAAAAATGCACCAATACACCTGAGTTAAAACAAAAATAATGATATTTTTAAAACATGATAGAAGAAAAAAAACATTATTTTAGCATTGCCTAGAATTGTAAGGTGATATAAATTGTTTCTCTGTCCGTTTAAATACTGACATCATATTAATGAGCAAATACTGAAAAAGTAGTACTTGATTCAAATGATGATTTAAATACAGTAGATTGATATCACATAAATCATCATGATTCATGATGTCATGATCATGATCCCGAATATAAGTAGAAGGAGAGCATTTTACCTAGTGTATTTTCTCATTATCAAAATAGCCACGTGGGGAAAAAAAGAGTACGCCACTAAATACGACTCATGGTCTGACTATGACTTTTATTTTGAAAGATAGTCGAGCTAATTTAGATAAGTTCCGGTTGTCACAAACGTTACCACACTCGAACGTTGTTCACTGACAAACCAACGGTCGCAGCCGCTACTGACTGCTTCGTTGTCGTTTAGCTTGATGAGTTTTAATACGTCTTTATTTGTTCATGTTTAAGCTTTACCTTAGAGTAATTTACGTTGTTGAGTCCTCCGCAGCAGTCAAGTGGCACAGAGGGACGAATGTCCGCCGGACTATCGTTCATTCACGAATTCAACCAGGTTTACCTGTGTGCAGAGAACACGTTAAAAAAGTGCGCAACACCGTTGCCAAAGTCCTCCACACGTGTTGATGGTAGAATTAGAAGGTCACAAAGTGCCTCTGTGTACAGCTGGGTTGCAAAAGCCACGCTGTCTGTACGAACTGCATTCTGGGAAATGAAGTTCAAAGTGCAGTTACACGTAAACTAGGCCTGGAATTTACAATTTACCAATTAAAGTTACTTACCATGTGAACTTTTTGTCCACAAAACCAAACCAAATTAGTCATAGCCTTAGCTGCAATGTAGCTTAACTGTAGCCATATGTATCATAAGAAAGACTATCATTAACTAAGAACTTAAAATCACATATTCAAAAGCTAGAATAATGTGTAGGGTTTTATAAAAACATTGTTTTGTCGTTTCTGCTAAACTTTCTTTTTCTTTTTTACCTTTTTCTTTGATCTGTTTGTTGCAGCTTACCTTGGTGTGTAGCTTCAATAATAAAGTTTAATTATATCATCACTTCCTGTTCCTGTCCCGTTATTCTGATCCTTTTTCCACTCTCCTCCACATCTCCTCTTCTCCGTCACCTCCTGCTGTTTGTTTAGACTCGATCATTTAGTCAGGAGATGCCACATGTGGAGAGAGAAACGGGGGGGAGCATTTCCAGCCCCACACTTCCCTGACCCAGCATAATGTCTACTCATCATACAGCAACAACACAGGGCAGCACAACTACTACTGCCTGATGCACACAATATCTGACGTCATCTGTTTTTCCCCACTTCCTGTTGGTTCTAGAATGACTAATGATGTTTAAAAATGAATAAAAATAAAATTTTTATTATTTTTCAAAACATTATCCATAAGATATAAGAATGAGTATAAGAATGAGTTTTAAAAATTAGCCACAATAGTGTTAGCAAATAAAAATGCTGCGTTTCTTAAATTACTTGAGAACGTACTGTAAATGATCAAAAAATATCAGAGGACTGTACGGATATGTTTGTTCCTTCTCCAGGAAACACAGACAAACCATTTCCACCAGTTAAACATTCACACAGCTCAATGTGTTTACTTTTCCTTGGATTAGACAGGATGACTGTGTGTGAAGACTTTTCATTCATATACACTACGTTGCAGGTACACACACACACACACACATCTACAAAGCTTGCAATAGATTACTGTAATAAAAAACATCCAAGCCAGAGGAACAAGCTGAGTGTGATGACTCATGTGGACATTTCCTTCACTGTGGACACAACATCAGGAGTAATCAACCTATACCACGCTCCAGCACATACACACTTCAGCCAATCAGAAGCCACGTCTGTTCTGTCTCTGTTATGTTTTCCATCACTATTGTTTGTGAGCACACAGCTCAACAGTAGGTCCATGGTGCATGATGTGTGCTCTTTTCATTAAACATTATTTTTTATTAAATCAGTGCCACCATGCAACTAATACAACAAAAACTATATACATATATATATATA